AATTGTATCAGATGACTCTTTTTTTCCCTCTTCTTTCTTCTTCTAGTTGAGCTCTGATCATCCAGACATTGAAGCCAGGTCAAGTGGGTATTATCTGCTCAAGGTCTTTCTGAGAAGTATTTAGATCCTGAGACTTCTATCCCCCTTCCTGTGCAGTGGGTGAAACCCCCTTTCACCCTGGCAAACATCTTTGGGGGTTAGTTTTGCAAAGTGTCAATCAAAGGGTCCCTGGGCTGGGCATGTCAGAGGCTACTGTCCACATGGGTACTCTGCCCAAAACGGGTGGACAATGAATGCTGAATGGAGAGACATCCTCCAATTTTTTCTCTCCCAGTGAACAACCAGAAACCTCGTGCCAGACTCTGCCCCTCAGGCAAAAGACTAAAATACCCTGGGGAATCTGAATTGCCCAGAAGTTTCCAAACCAACTTTATTTTCAGTGAAGCTAAAGCTAACAAGTGCCTTCTATGAACTTGTTGAGATATTTTGTTTTTGAATCATGAACAGTCAGCCAAAGAATGCTGGTTATCTGAGGAACGGCTCTTACAGAAGAAAGAAAAGAAAAAGCAACTTGTAGGATTCATAAACTATGAAGGGAAAAGAAAGTATGGTTTAAAAAGCTACCATGGATCTCTTTGACAGATAAGTCATTGCATCATAAAACAAGAACAAGCAGCTATAAAAAAGGAACGCTTAGAAACCAACAACAACACAAATAATCTCTTGGACATAAAAAATAGAAGAGCAGAACTGAAAGAACTCACTAGAAGGTCAGGAAGAGAGAGTTGAAGAATCCAGAGGGTCAGAAAAGTAAAATACAAGCATGAAAAGTAGGAAGAGAAACAGGAACACTAGTTCAGCCCAAGAGGTCTGAGTAATAGAATTTCAGAAAGTGAAGAAAACAATCAGAGAAAGGAAATCATAAAAAAAAAAAATGTATAAGAGAAAACTTTTGAGAACTGAGAGTTTTCAGACAGAAAGGACCTATTGAGAGTCAGCACAGATGAAATGAGACCTACCAGAAGTGTGAAATCTCACTGAGAACTCTAGGGACAAAGATCTTAAAATAGCCCAGAAGGAACAAAACAGGTCATATTATATGAAGGCTCAAGACACCAAATGACTTCAGCCGGCCCACCACCAACATGGCAGCAGAAGAGATTCTAAAGGATGATACTGTCCAGCCGGGGATTCTTATTCAGCCAAGCATCTATCAGACCTGGGGATAGAATGCAAGACTTCAAAAGAGCACTCATTCTCAGGAACTCCTGGAGTTTCGACTCAACAACATGACAATGTGCAGCCCAGGAAAGGAGGATCCAGCCCGGAGAAAGGTCAAGGGTATCCCCAGGGTGATGGTGTACTCAGGAGGACAAGTGAACTGGGCCTGCAAGAAGCGAGTCCAGACAGGGGTAGCATGACTCAATACATATCGAAGATGTCGTCTCCAAGATCCCCAATGCACTGTACTCCCTGTTCAAGGGACATGGTGAGCGTTGCTGGTGAGCCTGGCCAGGTTCTAGTCTGCAATTGCGTGCTCCTGATCATGAGCTTATGAAACTGGGCCAGCTGAGGGCATTCGTTCCAACTTCCCCACCTCCTGGGAGTTGGACGTGGGGCACAGTGAGTGCAGTAACAAGAACACAGGGCTACTCATTCCTCTGATCTCTTTCTGTGCATGCCCAGGTCACCGCCCTGCCAGACACTCTGATGGGGGAAACCCTGTGTCTTCCAGTCCTTGCCCAGGATTTTGCCCTTTGACTACCCCAGAAGGCACTCTTGCCAATCATCAGGGGCACCGAGACCAGTCTGTACCCCAGAGGTTCTGTGCAGTTGTTCCTTCCCAGGGGTCTTGTGGTTGACTAGAGGGTCCACCCTTCCTCTCAGCCCCTCCGCTGTTCTTCCATGCTTAGGGAAACATCCAGAGATGATATTAACACAACTTGTGGTGGATTAATGCACTGGACATTTAGGTCGG